AGGAAGGAAGGAAGGAAGGAAGGAAGGAAGGAAGGAAGGGCTATGGTTGGCACAGTGGTTAGAAAGCAGCATTGCATTTGCAGACAAACTCTGCCAACTGTCAGGAGTTCAATCCTGACCAGGTCAAGATTGACTCAGCTTTCCATCCTTCCCAGGTGGGTAAAATGAGGACTCAGATTGTTGGGAGCAACAGGCTAATTCTGTAAACCGCTTGGAGAGGGCCGTAAAACACTATAAAGTGGTATATAAGTCTAAGGGCTATTGCTAGTGCTATTTGGGCACTTGTGTGTACTTACAACAGTTGTGGTGTTCATGTCATCATTATTTGGATGTTCCTAGAGGGATTCCAACAATCAGAGTCAATGGGGAAATCCAGATTTGCGTAATTACCGTTTGGTTCATTAAACAACTATAGTGATTCACATAACAATAGCCAACAGACATGTAACTTCAGGTGTGGCTCGTCTGATGACCTTTTTTAGCAACATCAATTCTGGTCCCAAGAAGGGTTGTAAGTTACCTGTATTTTCTTTCTCACATATACATTGCGAAACAGCAATTTTGTATACTTACCAAGCCAACTTCTATTTAAATACACAGAAACGAACACGGGAGGAACAGTGAAAAAATCAACCACAGAGTTTACTTCCAGCCAAAACCATAGCTTGTCGTTGGCTGCTATGAACTATAAAAGAAAGAAAAACAGACAGACAAGAATTAAATAAGTGAAATAATAAAAAGGCAAGGACAACATTTGGCATAAGTGGACTGCCAGCCATCCTTATTTTATGAAAGAGACTTCTAAGGCAGGGTTCCCCAAAGTTGGCAACTTTAAGACTTGGGGACTTCGACTCCCAGAATTCCTCAGCCAGAGGAATCCTGGGAGTTAAAGTCCCCAAGTCTTAAAGTTGCCAACTTTGGAGACCCATGTTCTAAGGAATGTCTTCACAATCTTTGGGCCCCATAGATCAGGCTGTGTTCCTCATCTGACATCTAGAATCATTTTAGAACCTGTAATGGCACCATAATAGAAGTGGCTGACTTTGACCCTGGATGCAGATCCCAAATAACAAATTAACAGAGTTGGAAGGGACTTTGTAGGTCATCTAGACCAACCTCCCCCCCCCCCCCCCCAAGCAGGAGACCCTACACCATTTCTGACAGATGGCAGTCCAGTCTCTTCTCAAAAGCTTCCAGGGATGAAAGCGATGAAGATTCTTCCACCCTTTGGGAAAAAAATAATAATCAAGGAAGCCTATATTTTTATTAAATAAAAGATTTCCCTCCAAAACATCATATTGCCTATTTTCTTCTGGATGGATGGATAAATGGATGGATGGATGGATGGATAGATAGATAGATAGATAGATAGATAGATAGATAGATAGATAGAT